TCATATCCAGTGAGTCATAGATAATAATATCAGCAATATTAAGGTGAAAAAAATAGATTTAGAGCCGTCAATCTAATGATGCAGTGACATTTGAAATAGTTCATAGAAGAGAAACTCAAAAATCTCATAAACATCTCATGGTGGCTTCTTCCAAAGGCATTTTAATGACTTCCGAGCATTTGCCTTATTTCGCAGACCTATGATTTAAATGATAAATAAACCCACCTAAACAACATATAGAAGAATGAGCTAGAATATTACAAGACAAAACAAGTAAAATTTTTAAAGTTTCATTTAAAGGAAAAAAAAAGTATTGTGTTTATGTTAACCTAGAGGTAATGGTAAAAGGTAAAATTGAAGAGTGGGTTAGGGTTAGTACAAAGATGAACTACATCATTGTAATTGTAGTACATTTCAAACTCAATAAAGGTTCATAATTAGCTACTGATCTTAAAAATATGTTAAAATATTGCTCCCAAACACAGAAACAAATGACTTGTGAGGAACATCCTTAGTGTTTGAAACTTAAATCACTTGTAGTTCTGATAAATACTTTTTGGTGGTGTATTATTGTTGGCCTTTGTCTCACCTCATAAATAGCATGACAACCCATGGTTTTGTGGAGATCCCATGCTTAATATTATGATCAATAGATATTTGGAGGAAGAAGCTGAATAATTGACTGAATTACATAGCTATTAATCGAAGGAGAACAAGAAAAGAGTAACAGTTAAAATTGGTTAGAAAAATAATGTTTACTTAGTATTTTTATTATTTATAAATCTTGATCTCAAAAACTATATACCATTAAAAATATGATTTTTTTGATATTTATTTCAATTTTAAGCTCCACAGACAAGATGAAAACTCTGGTACTGGCATCATACAGACTTTACATCTTATGGACTTTACATCTTATGTGCTCATTATTTTTCCTTTTCTTAATTCTTATCTTAAGTTCATCCCAGACTATTATTCAGGAACTTTGGTGCTCTGATGGCTTTTGATGTTTGGAGACTAACATAAACATGGGGAAATATTTTGATCATTTCAGTAGATTGTGAAATATTAATTTTCATATTTCATGCTTCCCACTAGGGAAAGCAGAATCAAAGTGTATACATAGTGAAAAACCCGAGTATGCACTGATTATGTAGACAATTTGGATATGGCAATGACTCATATTACTTATGATGAGTATTGAATATTATTTATGATGAAAGCAATTTGAATTTGTAAACTATTAGCGAATCTCTCTTTTTTAAAAATATAAAGTCTTAATGAGATGTGTACTTCTTAAAGGAAATAAGATGAAATGTCTTTCTTTCTGAAGAAGGTTAGAAAGAAGGAAAGACAAGATATGGTGGCCTTATCATTACCTCCTGCCCCCAAGTCAGAATTACCTTTGCGATATCTTCGAATCCATACAATAGAGTTTGAAAACGCGACCTCACATGGAGAAGGGAGAGGAGAAAGGTGGGAGGGAGGTTGTGTGTGTGCTTCTAAATTATCTTTCTCCTTATTAATCTGAAGAGGAAAAGAGACATTTAGGACGTGAAGGCTCTCCTCAAATATACTGGATGATAAGTACTTTCTGGGAACAGAATTTATTTTGCGCAGCCTATTTGTATAGATTTCAGACAAGTGGGTTGGAGAATGCCTGGATATAGATACCACCTTTCTCCACGGGAGGAAGAACTTACTGCCTCAGATGGAATTGGCTGCCCAAGGACAGACTGAGCTTCTGAGCAGTGCCTCTTACATGCAAATTTTGTTTCCAAGTTTTTTAGCGGTCATGCCCTCGGGGCTATTAGCTAGCGTGTGAGTCTCATGATTCTTTCCAGACCTCAGATTCTGAGCCTCTAATGGAATACCAGACTTAAAACCGTGATGTTTATCTTGAAAACTTATTTTCGTAATAACTTCAGGAAGACAAATGAGATTTATATTTATAACTCAAATAAATATTTCTCCCGAAGTCATACAGTATTTTAAGTGTAACATATCCAGTATTTTAAAAACAGAAGTCCAGATTCGGGGTCTGTTCTGATAGCCCTTGTCCATGTGGGCAGTGTAACAGCCAGTCCACAGCGGCTGCCACGGATTGCCGACACTGGGTTCCTTTTGTAGAGAAGTTAAAGGAGCCTCCAGTCTATAGACGTGTAAGAGTCTCCAGTTTCATGGAACAAATCAAAGTCTAATTTCCTTCAATTTAACAAAATCTACTAAACTTTTCTGATATATTGTATTCCTCCATCTTGCGCTGTGAAATCTTTCTATTCTCCAATCCAAACCTGTTTCTTCTAGGTCTCTGGATCTTGCTTTCTTGTGAGTTTGTTCTTACTTCTTGTGTAAGCATAGATTCTTTCTTTTAATACAGAAAGTATTATTACACTTTGCAGCTCATGGCGATTCCTCCTTGTATGCATTTAAAATCCTTTGTCATTCTCTGCTTACTCTAGAAATTGACCTTTCCCAAAATAATCTCTAGTTTAGGAGAGGTCACTATTCCCAAGTCTATTTCCCTGTCCTGCCCTGTGCTTCCTTCTCAGGAACTTCATTCAGTATGAGCTCATGCTCTGGCTGTAGCTTAGCTCTTTGATCTCATTCCAGAACATTCTTCTCCCAGCCTACTACTTATAGATTCATTGGCCATTGTGCTGTTACTTTCTTTCTTTTTTTTTTTTTTTTAAGATTTGTTTACTATTTATTTGACAGGGGGAGAAACTTGAGAGGGAACACAAGGGAGAGGGAGAAGCAAGCTTCCTGCTGAGCAGGAAGCCCGATGTGGGGCTTGATTCCAGGACCCTGGGATCTTGACCTGAGCAGAAGGCGGATTCTTAATGACAGGCACCCAGGTGCCACCATTGGGCTATTTCTTGACTAGACCTGAGGTAGTTCCAACCTGAGAAATTGCAGCAGCCTGGAATGCTCTTTACTCCTGACTTTTCTTTTCTTTCTTTCTTTTTTTTTTTTTATGGCTAGCAACTTCCAATCTCATTGAGATCTCAGTTTAAATTTTTACTCCCAAACATAAGTCTTCCATAAAACCTGAAACAGGGTTTCCTTACATATTACTCTATTTAAACTTTCTGTAGATTACTTATATTTCTAAACTTTTAAAAAAATTGCTTACCTGTTAGTATATTCTGTCTTCTACACCAGAATAGATGATTCATTCAAGTAGACATGTGGTCTCTTTTGCTCACCAGAATCTCCGCCACTAAGAAAAAGACCTAGCACACAATCTAAACTCAATAAATATTTGTCGAATGAACAAATAAGTGCATGCTCCATCACTCCAAATGTTCTTAGACATTAACTTGGTTGAGGGTGAAAACTTTTAACTCTAATTGAAGCTTGTAGGAAAATACAGCTTTATCATCTTTTGCTAATTTCTTACCATAGTATAGTTTATAACGATGTTAGGGGAAACATACCTGTATATATCATGTAAAAAATAATTAAAAAGTAGTCATATTTTGGGCAATGAGGAGAGGGATATTTTAAAAGTCAGAAGTTCAGAAAAGACAGCATTGGAATTAAACAAAGGAGATGATTTTTTTAGATACTTTGATTTTCACAACATTTTGGTCTTAAAACTTGTTTCCTTCTTTGACACCTTTTCCATTTACACAATCTAGCAAAATTGCAGAGATTACTTTTTGCCCGGATATTTTAATATTCACTCATTATAGTGAGTAGAAATAAAAATGATGTTTCAGAACAATGTTAAACTTAGTTATGTTGTAGACTGGCTAGTTCTATTCTAAACTTTTTTTTTTTTTTCATGGAAGATGGGTTGTTGGACAAATTTCTTAATATTTTTGTTTTCTATAAGGGTTAGTTTCTTGTGATTTGGGAGAGAACATGTATTTCAGTCTTAATTTGCAAATTTTATATGTCAAGAAATTATAGCACCACTGTATAAACTTAGAGTGTTAGAAAGATGATCATAAAATTCTCTTGTTTTATTGAATTTCCTAGTTTCTCTCCTGAGTTCCGAATGGTAGTCAGATAGCATTTTTAATGTGTTTTTAACTATGCATGTTATAGTATGTTAAAAATAATTGTGTAAAGCAAAGTCTTTTTCCTTGTAAAGTCTGTTTCTTTCTGGTAGTAGGAACATTTTCATTACCATTCCTGTTTATAAGACTAGCTGCAGTTAGTGTAGAAAAATGTGTATCTTGGGTATCAATGCACCAGAAAATTAAAAACAAAACAAAACAAAAACAAACCTGTACTTAAATAGCTCTGTTTTTCATAGCATATAATGTATGACCGTTTTGTGAATTATTAAAAAAATCATATGTGTACAATTTTATTTTTTCATTATTGTCTTGGTCTTCCATATTTATTCATTTATGTAATATGTACCATTTGTCAGTAAAATCACTGTGTATTTAAATGGCAAAAATGTATGTATATCTTTTTCACCCTAATGTTCATCACAGATCTTAATACAGTATCTTTCAAAAAATGTTAAATTACCTGAAACATATAAATATAAAACAATCCATGTAAATGTAACAACATAACAAACAAAATGAGACTAATAAAATAAATAAATAAATAAACAAACACCTCTCTGAAACTTTCGGCACCCATTACCTTATCAAGCTTTTTGTGTGTAAATACTTAGTTCAGTAACATTTTTATTTATACTTAGAGAATTTAATGGCTATAATTTTACAGCAGAATGCTGTGAATCTATAAAATATAAAATCTATGTTTTTTTCAAGTAGCTTTCTCTGCTTTCAATAATTATGTCTAATTTTCCAATTACTGCTAAGGATTAGGTTGAGGTAGTGTTTAGCTAGGACAGAAATACACAATCCGCACGACACTTGGGGACGGGGGATGTGTTCTCAGCTCCAGGGTTATCTGAGTGGGGCCTGGGGTGGCTGGAGTCCAGGGACTAGGGCCTGCGGCAGAGAGCAGCCTCAGGAATAGCCTCTAGCTGGGCTCCTCTGCAGCGGGCCTGAGCTGAGCGGAGTCTGATGGTGCGCCCTGCGGTCCCCGCAGGTGGCAAGCACAGTGAGCGACATCCAGCCCTTCCTGCTCCACTGCGACATGCTGAGCGCAGCCCCGGAGGCGCTCTCCCACCCAGACATCTCCTTCAGCAACCAGCTGCAGAGCGGGCCACTACTCATCGTGGACAAGGGCCCCGTGGAGCTACCAGAGGAGGTCGCGGTCCAGGTGCCCAAGGAGCCCAGAGTGCAGCCCAAGGTGCGGCCAGCGGTGGGGAGAGGGGGTTGGGGGAGGCTGGGCAGGGACTCCTGGAAGGCTCCGCCCCAGGCAGTGCCCCAAATGTGTCTTCTCATTTGTTCCCATCAGCATCCGCTCAATGAGGCTGATGTCTGTCTGCATCTAGCCGTCTCCCAGCAAGTCGTTGAACCCTGCATGCTTGTTCGGAGTTAGAGCCTCCTCATTATGCCAAAATGTTTGACTTTACATTTCTGAATGGGTTTGAAATATCTCTGCAGTATCGCAGGAAATTTCAAATTACTTTTAGTGACCATTTCAACTATTGTAAAATGTGATGCTTGTAAAAGACAAATTTTAACATTTCTGATAATCTGCGTGTTTGGGGAAAGAAAAAAATCTCATCAGTGGAAACTACCAAGTTTTTGAGGAGAGTAGGATGAACACATCTTGGTTAGGAATTGTATATAGTCATTTAAAGCATAAAATCTGATAGGAAAGTGATAGTTATAAAAGCAACATAATTTTCTTATGAAAATGTTGACAGTGCTTTATAATATTGTCTTTGCACCTGGCAAATGCAGTGAATGACATCCATCTCTTTTTTTTTTTTTTTAAGAGAAGAGAGATCACAAGTAGGCAGAGAGGCAGGCAGAGAGAGAGGAGAAAGCTCTCTGCTCAGCAGAGAGCCCAATGTGGGGCTCGATCCCAGGACCCTGGGATCATGACCTGAGCCGAAGACAGAGGCTTTAACCCACTGAGCTACCCAGGCGCCCCTGACATCGATCTCTTGAAGCTCTAGTGAGAAATAGAAAACTTGCAAAAATTCAATACTGTTCTTTTCCCCAATAATTTATCCAATACTTAGGCAATGTAATTTTTCTCACTAAACTCCATACAAGCACTCCTATCCCTCTTATATCCTATAGGGAATATAATATAATATAATAAGTATAATGTGATATGTGATATACATTTTCTTTATATACATGATATATTTTTATGTTAATGTTCTTTGATAATATTTAAATAATTGGGGGCGCCTGGGTGGCTCAGTGGGTTAAGCCACTGCCTTCGGCTAAGGTCATGATCTCAGAGTCCTGGGATCAAGTCCCGCATCGGGCTCTCTGCTCAGCCAAGAGCCTGCTTCTCTCTCTCTCTCTCTCTCTCTCTCTTTCTCTCTGTCTGCCTCTCTGCCTACTTGTGATCTCTGTCAAATAAATAAATAAAATATAAAAAAAAAAGCTTTAAATAATTGATAAACTTATATGAATGTAATATGTATATATTTCATATATATTTTTATATATATTATATATATGAAATACATTTATATTATATTATATTATATTATATTATATTACATTATATTATATACCATATTAACAGTTTTATTTGTAAACTACATGAAAAAGGCTGGGAAGCATTTGGCTAGGGGAACCATAATTATCGAGTTTTTTCCTAAAACAGTGTCATCTCTCCTACTCCATAATTTCTTCAAGGGGATATTCATACGAGAAATACTGGCAAAGGAACACAAAATAGCACTGAGCTTATCTTCTTGACCCCATAACCGTATTCCCTGGTAAAATAAGCTGGAAAACTTGGTTTTCAGCTCAGGGACCAAGAGAAACATACCGTAAACCCATCTGAGATGGATTTTTCAATTCTGACATGTAAGAGTTAAACCTACCTCTTCAATTACTGCAGCTACATAGAAAGAGTAAGTGTGAGAGTGACTTGGCCTTCACGGTGGCTCTGTCTGCTCAGTCACCTAGTTCAGTCAATGGCCTAGAATCTTTCCATCCAGATTCGCATTCATTCCTTGGTGTTGATGATTAGTGATGGGGAGTGCATGTACTTCCACAGAACTGTGTGCAATTGTTTCTAGTGTGTTCAGCAAATTCAGGGAAAGTGTATAGTAACATTCTTTAAGAAATTCTTTTTTATTTTTTTTCTCCTGCTCTTTGTTTTGTATTATCATTTCAAACCTGAAGTGTCTATATTGGATGCAGTCATATTTTTCACAGAATATGCTTCAACAGTTGCAAAATTTTCCTTATGATGTTGGCTTTTGATTTATATTTTAAAATAATAATACAAAATTAATATTATTTAAGTTCCTTCAATGCATGTACATTCATCACAGTTTCTAGTACTCCTGAGGAAGGAATCCAAAAACGAAGTTTAATTTTTGAGTAAATGTTATAAATGTTCAAGCCAGCAGCTAACATTTACACACACACACACACACACACACACACACACACACACAGACACACACACACACACACGTCTGCTGGCAACTCAATTTTGAGGGGAAAAAATCAGAATATCAGTCAGAATACTTTTTCCTATAGAACTTTTGCTAAGAAGTTGGCTGAATTTAAATGCTCCCCAACATTTATAGTTTAATAAGATTTTTCTATGTTACTAGCTTTTACTTTTTGCCATGTATGTGACAACTTTCAGTACACTAATGGGTTCTAAATCATGCTTTTCTCTCAACTTACAAATAGGAAATTTTCATTATATTTTGCTTTAGACAGTAAAGAAAGCATAAGTATGTGATCTCATAAGTGGAGACTGAGGTAAACGTCATGTGATTTTAAAAGGTGCCTGCAGAATCATGTTAATCTGTTATAAGGAGACAATATTTTTTGAAAGTTGCTTTGGTGCAAAAGTAATTTTATCAGTGAGGTAAAGAGCATCTGAAGGTCATCTTCTAGTACTCCCTAAAGAAAAAATAAAGAAGAAAAAAAAGTAAATATTACAGGGGCATTATCTTTCCTGATACAGAAGATGATACATACAGCTGGAATGCTTAGACATGTATTAAAAATGAAAGTGAAAGGAAAAATACCACATTACTTTGAGCTCTTCAAGTTGAAAAGACAGGAAGGAATGCAAACAAGCAGATGTCCAGTGAACTCTGGCTCCCTCCCCTTCTCCTTTCCTCCACATTTCTTAAAATAAAAACAACTGTTTGCTACAGAAGCAAGATAATTTAAGATATAGAAAACTCAGAAATCAATATAAAGACTTATTAATGTAATTTTTAATTGAAAAATCAAATTGATGCTCCTTTTAAAAATGTTAACCTCTGTATTTGTCCTATAGATAGCCAGACAACTGAGGAGAAAGCCAACAAAAGCAATCCTAACAACATTAAAAAAAAGAAAATCTTTTTATTGGCTTGAAATTAAACTTTGTCCTTTTTTAAATTTTATATTTATTTGAGCTAATAACCGTTCTTAAGAGTTAATGAGTGTTTGGATTCACAGGAATTAGGACTTCACAGTAGAGCAGCAAAGCATAAAGAATTTAAAAACATTGTTCTCAGAAGACATGTTTCTCCTTAGTACATTAAGGCAGAAGGAAGTCTGAGGGCAGATTGCCCAGTTAATGACTAGATATCAAGACTTTTCCTTGAAACCAAAGGAATGTAAATGTGTTTTTTATCAGGATTTTCCTTGGTTTAATTGTGATTCTCCTGCAGATGCATAAGTTCTTTGAGATGATCTACAAATAACCCTCCTGCAAGCCACACATGGAGTGTGCAGAGTTCATAAGGGTGTTCTCTCAGAATGTACCGAAAGCATTTAAATCTTGACAAGTTATAAAAAATGCTACCCTGTGCTCATTTTAAAGCTTACCTTTGGAAGAGCCAAAATGCTTTTACAAGGAACTTGTGTATTCTATCCGTCCTTTGGGAGAATCAAATCAAACTCTGCCATCATTTTTTTTTTCTCATTTTTCCCGTTCTTGGGTTTTTATGTTTATAAATGGGAATGCTTTTATGATAATTATAAGTAGAAAACTCCATTTGATTTGTTTTGTTACTTTAAACAAAAGTAAAATTGATCTAAATTATAAAATACCGGATGTTCCATAGTTCACTCTTGCCCTTTTTTATTTTTTCAATGACACTGGATTGAGCATAAATGCCTACTGGATACTGGGCTAAGTCCTAGGAAGACACAGACAGGAAACTCAAACTCCGATCTCTCAGTGAGCACAGGGACACAATAGAGTACAGTGTGGCAGGTGCTTGCTAGGGGATATCTCTACCCTATAACCGAAGAGGCCAAGAACCTTGTTTGTAAAAGTATGATAAACATACGATTTGATCTGTGCATGTTCGAGAGGGAGTTCTAAATGTAGGAGCAGAAATTATATGCAGAAGTGGTTAAAGATCTGATCAGGATGGCATGATACAATGTTATGTAGAGTTGAGACTTTTGCTGATGGGAGTGAGGGAACAATTAAATTAATCTTACAGGCATTAAGCAAAGACTGACCTGCTGCCTGTATTAACAATGAACTAGAGACTTCAAGACTGGAGATAGGAAGGTTATTCTATTGAGTCAAGTAAGAAATGTTGCTAGCCCTGACTCAAAGAGTGAGTGACATTAGTAATAATGAGGATCAATGGACAGGAGTTAGATATTCATGGGATATGTGACTAGACCAAAAGAAAACTCAGAGGACAAAGAGGTTTCTAGCTTCAAAGAAAGCATGATGAGTGACTGTACCACTTACTGAGGTAAGAAAGACAAGATGAAACAGAGAATGATGGTATGGAATGATGGTGTTATAAGTAACTTCAACACATTCCTTTGAATAGAAACGTAACTTTTGGGCCCCTAATTAAAAGCTCGTAACTTAAATACAATATACAAATCTGAAAAAAAAAAGATAAAAAAAAGATAATTAAAAATGCCATTTGTTGATCATAAGTGATTCTCATCAAAAAGAAAAAAAAATTACCATTCTTTGTGAAGCATTCTATTTTGTCTTAGGTATGATAAGATACTCTGTAACAAAAGAGCATCTCCTAGGATTTTTATTCAATCCGTCCTTCTACCTCCCAGTGATACCTAGCAGGGTTAGAGTGGAGCCAAGATTAGATCTGACTTTGAGCTCTCTTGTGTTCCCATGAGACAACAAGAAACAGAATTCTTATTATAGATGGGCATTTGCAGTAAGTACTTCTCAGTATGTGGCAGGGAAACAGGTTGAAC